TGCCCGGGGCCGGGCAGCAGCTGAGCCACGCTCTTTGGTTCCGGGGCCCGCTCAGCCCCGGGGGCCGCCGCTGGGGCACGCGGGCGTTGCCCGTTATCCGGATTTTTTGGGCCTAATCCAGGTAGGAAGCGCTAACGTTTTCTGCTGAAAGAAATGAAGACTCGACAATTGGCTTTCTTGGCACCAGCCGTTTGGCTCCGTGCACAAACCTAACTGCCCATTTCCGTTCCGAGATGCAATTTTTATGGGCTTTGCTAATGAAAAGCTAATCAGTGCGGTGCGCTAATGGCACCCCCGGCTGAAAATACAGCGGATCTGCTGGGAAGGCTTAAATCAGCACCCTGTGTGCAAGCTGTACCGGCTCACATTCCGCCTTTCACAGTTACCGATGATGCAAAGTCCACAAGCTGCAATTACTGCAGTTGAATAAATGAATGAAAAAGCGCCTTATAAATGCAGCAGTGTACATGTGTATCAAACGTATACAATTAACTTCCCACAGAACCAAATGCAGCCACCATACCAAAAGATACTTGGCTTCTTTAATTTGTTTTGTAGATGGGCAAGCCTGTGATTTCAGCCAGCTGGCGTAAGAAGGGGAGAGCACTTGACCCTCCGCAGGCATCGGCTGCTGGGGATCTCGGTGCCAAATTACGAAGTCCCAGGCCTGCCTGCTGCACCCAGGCTGAGGCAGTTATTTTCTATTTTCACTTGTTCACGTAACTATAGGAAGGGAGTTAAACGTATGCTCTTGCCTTCCTCTGGAAAGTTTTGCTATGTTGCTGGTAACACCCAGAGCTTTGTCTCTAAAGCACGATTCTGTTTGGTTAATAACATCCATGTGATCTTTGAACGTGAAATTTCAGCTCAGAAGAGCTCATGGAGGCCTTCAGAGATCCTCTCAGCCACGCTGTGGGATCAGCTCTCCCTGTATTGTACCTGACGGATTATTCTGAGCTTGGGTTAGGTAAACGGTGACGATAATCCCATGCCCTTCCCAGCAGCCTGTTGTGAATCACCCGTGTCTCACTTTTGAGACTGCATAGAGAAAACTGGACTGAGATCGGTTTTTTGGGAAGAGGACAGGAGTCCCTGCAAACAGCAGAGCAGTGGTAAGTGCAGGGCTTTATTGTACCGTTCTTTTCTGTTTACAGCAGGACCCGCGATGCTGCTGTTGGCACAGAGGTCTTCACAAAGGCCAAGCAGCTTTGGGTGCTTTCCCCATACACCTGAAAATATTTACACCACCTTTGCAGTCCATCAAAGCGTTAAAGTTTTCTACATCTTCCAAGCAGTCCTCCAGCTCGCACCCGAGCCCTGGCGAGCCCAAATACCAGCTCTTTCAACTGTCCAAGCAGCTGGCTTCCCTAACCCCAGGAGGACTGGATTTGCATCACTTTCCAAGGTGATAGCTGCTTCTGACATGACCCGTGTATCCATCAAAGAGCCTGGCAGTGCAGCCTCAGAGGTCAGAAAGGAGCTTTAGGCAACTTGGTCTGGAGCAACCTGGCCCTACTGTCTGCTACCACAAGGAACAGAGGTTCACAGTCTCGGGCACATCATCTTCAAGGGTTTCTGTGAATCCATCTCCAAACCCTTCTGCTTCCACCAGCTCAGGTTTCTTGTTGCACATGGGGCAGAGCTGGTTGCGGATGGCAGATGATCTCATCCAAATAATAAGGTTCCAGCGTTCCCCAGAGGCAATGGGAAGTGCCCCGTGGATCTGCCCTCCTCGGTGTAGCAGCCCCTGGGCTCCCACGTGTTCAATCTCCATGTACTTTGGCACAGGGGTAGGATCCTGGAACAAAGGGAGGCAGATACAGCATTACACCAGAAAGTCCCTAGCAGGACAATGTTCAAATAGTTCGAAGTTTTACTTGTCACCTCTTCACCCACAGCACCCAGTGAGGAACGTGGCGAGGACTCACTGCACCTCTGAAATGCAGCCACTTCAGTGATGGCTTGGCAGCAGTTTAGTACAACTGTTTTCAGGTAAGGCCTTCGCAGTGCCAGGTCCAGAGGGAATTTAAAGACAGAGTTTCAGTCAAAAAACCTGTTTTACCAGTGTATAGGAGCTTTTACCCTTCTCTTGCCAGGAGTCCCCTGGAAGTAGGGGCTGCAGGTTTAGGTTTAAGTCTCATCTGAAATAAATTTCTTCTCTTTCTCGTTCTCAGCACCTCCCTGCTCACTATTTCAGTTGTGGGAAGATCAGCTGGTTTGTTTCATGTGTTTTTACTACAATAGCTGTCTCTGTCCCGTCTCTGACGCTTGAATATTAGCAGAAAAGGAGCAGAAAAGGCTCCTGTCTAACCAAGCCATTTAAAAAAAAATGGGGAAGGGACAGAACATGTTTGACTGTCAGAAATGAGTAATTGTTTTTTAGAACACAGTTAATGCCTTGAAACTGTGGGGGCAGGGGGGTAGAGTGGAATAGAATCAGGGTCCAGATTAAGAATATGATCGGTACCTGTCTGAAATCCCCAAAGTACAAGTTGCCTTCTGTGAAGTCTTTTCCCAGTGAAACGTTTAAGGTGACTTCTGCGTTGTCATAGTGAGAGCTCAAATCCAGATCTTCGTGTAACGAGTACTTGACAACAAATGCTTTATGGCTGTCCAGACAAGCACCTCCCAAGTCGGGATAAAGCAGTGCCGTTATGGGCCGCAGGTATTGTTCACGCAGGGGTGTGATGAAAGTTTCATCCATCCCAAGCTCATTTAACAAAACCTGCCTCAAAGAGAGGAGATGGCAACAGGTGACCAGCTGTAACTGCTGCTTCGTGACAGCTGCTGCAGAGCTGTCTTGTTCTCTTCCAACCCTGCTGCTTGCTCAGATAAAGAACTTTAGAGCAAAGGCTCCAGCAAAGAAGGAGGATCAAGGTGGAAAGTGATGAGGAAAGGACAAAGTAAGATCAAAAGTTAGGTGTTCTTTAAAAATGGATTCCTTGATTTAAATGTGTATTGCTTAAATACAAGGTGCTCTTTGCTCTGAGATACCAGCTCCCATCCCCTTTCCTTGCATTCTCTTGTCATTTTGTCCATGTAACACACATTCCCTCAACCCTTTCACTTCAGAGGGGCTGTACTCAAACTGCTTTGTGCTCCAATTACAGGCACTTTGGATGGGAAAGGAGTGTGAAGCAAGGAGGTAAACGGAGTCTGCTTGTGAACATCCCCCCTAAAGAAGCTCCAGAGCTAGTGAGTCCTACCCCATAGTTATTCATAGTGTTGGGCCTGCCCTTAGGCATGTCCGACTGCTCAAAGTTCTCCAGCTCATCCACAAAAGCTTGGCAGAATTCCTCTGTGAACACTGGGAGTCGATAGATCCTCTTATCTGTCAAGAGAAGGGAGACATCATTTGCTGGGGAAGGTAACAGGTGAGAGTGTTCTTGGCTGTCGTGCTGTCTGGCTATACTGTGCTGGTACTGGTGAGAGTGCAGGACCCACATGCTTCACTGTGCTCAGGGTGCTTGAAGGGCTGGAACAATTCCCTGCGATTGGCTCTGGGATGTATTTGTTGTTTTTCATGTTGGCTCCTCACTTCCAGGCTTCGCCATCCAGTTGGGACATCTGGCACTGATTTAAATGCCTGCTGTAGGTGCCAAGGAAATGTTTTGAGAAGGTCTAGAGGGAGGGTGGTGAATCAAGGGCTCATCACAGGCAGTCAGAATACAGCCTCCTGGAAGGAGGAGACTGAAGGTCATTTAGGGGACGGGGGATTCACTCATCCCAGACCTTCTGGGAAGACCAGGCCTTCTGAGCTGCCTTTCAGGCTGGAGCCCTCAAGGTCTGTGTAAGGGGAGCTCAGTATCGAGGATATAGAAGCTGAGCTAAAGACAGCGTGAAAAGGCTTTGTATCTGGAAATCGTGCCTTGGCCAAATCCAGGAGCCCTGCGCATACACAACATTTGTGTCTTTCTTTTTGTTTGGAGAAAATTAAGCAACTTTGCAGCTTCTCCTCTACATTTTGTCAGTATTTCTGGTAGGGAGACAGCTTCACAGATGCCTCCAGGGAATCTTAAAACCCAGATCTCTTTTTAAAAGACTGAAATCTAGACTGAAACTATTTCAGCTCAGACTAACCAACAGGGATTGTCTGAAATGATAAAGCACTTGGGGAGGGAAAACCAAGCTCCCTGGGCTATCAGTGTTCCTTCAGCAGGCTCCCCTGTGAGGTTGTGGTACAACCAAAACCCCAGCCGGGCTGCAGCTAGAGCCTCTGATGAGACATCAGCAGACTGGGATTGGAAAAGCAGAAAACAGGATCTCATCCAGAGCATAACTGCTGCACAATACTGCCTCTCCAGAGACTCTTGTCAAGCAGAAAATAACATCCTGTTTGTCTCAGCTGTGTGTCAAATCTGAGCTATTAAAGACAGGGCTTGAAAACTGCTATGATTGCTGAAGTTGCAGTGTCACATGGGGAGATCTTTGTGGCTGATGTTTTGTTTTCTTTACCTGAGAAGGACTCGATGTAGTGCAGGAGGCCATGGAGATGAGCATCTGGTGATGTGCAGTATCTCACGATTTCTAGAAAATCTGGGGCCAGGAATGAATCCTGGCATCAAGAGAAGGATGATAAAAATACACAGAAACACAATTAGCCTGCGCAGTCTTTTACAGCCCAAGAGGGGAATGGACTTCCAGGCAGCCACAGGAAAATACGTAGAGTCTAGGGACCAAGGCTAATAGTCACACTTGGGGTAACCCAAGTAATTCTGTGGCAGGAAATGCAGAATTTTACTGGTGTTTTTCTTGGTGTTTTAGGTAAGCTGCTGCTTGCTCTAGTCTGTGGGTTTCCAAATATAACTGGTGAGATATATCCTTAGCATGATGGAAAAGAGCCTGGCTCACGTTATGGACTCCTAACAGGTAAGTGCAAAGTCTTTCCTAGCAGATTTAGCATCTTGTCATGGCCTCAGCACAACAGAGTGACTACGCCTTGCTGTAAGCACTTCCCCACACAGATTGTGACAGACAACGGCAGAACTTGTTACTGAAGGATCATGGAGCAGTAAATCTGTGCAAACTTGTTTGTGTGTCACTGCTGATCTGTGGTAATTATCCAGCTGGGAAGTATTGGATCTAGCAAACAAGTGGAAATTCAAAGCAGAGTAGCCCAGAACAACGGGGGCTACCCTGCAGTTGTGGTGGGGTGTATACATGCAGCAGCCTGCTGCCCCCCTTCAGACAACAGTCACTAGTAACTTGTCTGTGTGTTATGCCCATAAGGGCTGATTTCTGTGGCTGTTCATTGGACCCCACTGACCCTGTTTGCTGCAATGATGCTTTAGGACTAAATTACTAATGGTGTTCTGAGCCCAGTACCAGGTGCTGGTGCAGCTTCCATATAGAATGACCCATATCTGGCTATAAAACGGGCGGAATCTTGCCTGGAGAATATCCTATGCTGTGAAAGTTTTTAATTCAGTTTTAATATGCTATACATCATTGGTTTTAATTCAGTCCAGCTCTAGCACTGCAGGCAATCCTGAGAAGAGGGGTTCCTACTGCAAAAATAAACTGTCAGGCAATTCCTTGGGTGCAAAATAGGTTCCAAACATAGTGTCTACCTGCAGAATGTACACTTCTGGGTGTTTTCGTTTGTAGCACTTTGAGATGATAGCTTTGCGTTCCACTGACTGATGAATTAATTGTTTTCTTCTCTGCACTTCTGCCTCGATCTGCAAGTAAACAACACAGCATATTGTTAGAAAATCAAAAGGGCTAACTGAAACAAGTTAAACCAGTTACTTTTGTTCTGGGCACCTCTGGGAGACAGAGTGTATGCCTTCGCTTTTCTGTAGTCAAGACAAGTCCAATAAATATCTGAAAAGCCAAATGCCTAAGAGGGATTTGAGACACATTCTCATTACAGTTGGCTTAAAAAATAACTGAAGTCTTTCCATGGATGTGTCAAGTGGAGCTGCGAGGTTTCAGCCCTTCCAGGCATTCTGACGCCTCATGAAGCGCCAGCCTACGCTTTAAGAGTCTGGCTTATGTTCTGACAATATAAGCACTGTCCAAAATAAAGACATTTGCTGGGAAGGAGACAGGACTTGTCACAAAGGGATTACTGCTAAGTGTCGTGGGGACAGGCTAATCTGTCATTTCAGAGGAAACAGCTGTAGTAGCAGCTAATTCAGGCAGCTCTTCCTATATAATACCCCCCCGTGAGATTATTTTATAACATTCCTCAGCAAAAAAGAAAGGAGGGTGTGACGGTACCCCTGCTCCCGACCCCTGGTAATGCGGTTAGCATAACTAGCACCCTTTTGTAAGGCAAGCAGCCATTCTCTGTGACCAAGAGGGTCACATATTCATTCCCTTTCCCTCATTATCAGGCCCTGAAGGTCCTGTGAACCAAGTAGACAAACCAAACAGATTTCTTCTTCCCCTCCCTACCAGCCTCAAGGTTTTCCTGGGTGCCAGGCCTGATTACTCCCTTCCATGCTGGCCTTGAAGGTCCCAGGCACCCAGCCAACCAGGTGATGTTGCTGACCCCATCACAGAACAAGGAAGTGTCACAGCACCCAGAGCACTGGCTATAAAACCAAGCAGTTACAAGTCCTAAGTGGGGAATTTGGACTGGAACTGCTGCTGGACAGTGAGAGCCATGACCAGTGATGCCTCCACCGTTTTCTGCTTCCTCTGAGTATGGAGTGACTCGTATTCTTTCATGTGATTTTTTGAGTCTAGAGTATGATTGTTATACTGATACAGTAAACCATGTATTAAGATCTGATCTGATCTGCAGAGGGCCCAGGCAATTAGAAATTCTAAGTTAAATTAGGATCTAGAAATCCTAAGTTGTATTATAAATTCTGTATTACACTGCTTATTACATTGATTCTGCTTGTAGAAATCCTGTGCCATTCTAATCCTAAATACTGTATTATACTAATCATAATAACCTGTTAAGAAAACAAAGCTTTAATTGTAACAATGATTTAGTGCTGGCATCATCCTGCCAAGGATCCCTAAAAGAACCTGTCTGTCCCCTTACTGCTGGGGTGGCACTGGAGCTGGCCTTGTGACAGATCTCTGTCCCTGGCCTGGAGGGAAAGGCAGATCCCTCCCTAAGAGTGCCCTGGGGGGCGGAGTTCTTGACATAGGCCCAGGGCAGCCCTGCCAGGTGAACTCTGTAGGATCCCTGGGTGATCCCACCTCAAGGCAGTCTTTAATTAAAAAGTCATCGACAAAAGAAGGGATGAGGAAAGACAAACTGGAAGGGTGCTGGGACCCACCTAAAACCAGTTAAGGAGCGGCACAGGCGCCCGTGTTCATAACGTGCGCAATTGCAGTGTTCACTGCCAGGGTGTTGCCAGCACAAACACACCACTGACGGCGGCCGGCCCCGGATCCAGGCGCCAGCGGGGAATTTTTCCCTTCGGTCTCACCGGCTTTGGCAGGACAAGGCGCCGGGGAGCTGTGCCCCGCTTCTGCCAGGGCCGGGGCTTGTGGCTTCAGCAGCTCTCCCC